CACTAAAGCACTTGGGGTTGTTTGTGGTTTTTGGTATTATTAGTGTTATTGTTTATTGGAGCTGAGTGTAGGCTGACTGTCCCTCCAGAGCTTGGGCCTCCCAGTGCCTGACACAGTGCCTTGCACAGAACGGGTTTGCACCAAATGTATGACCAGAAAAATGCATTGTGGTGATCAGAGGCCTCTTTCTGTGAGCACCACCAAGATGGCCCTGGAGTAGTGAGGAACTGTGTTAGTAGTGATTCTCTCCAGCACCTCCGAAGACCATTGTCTCACTTTTTGTCTGCAAGCCACAGTTTGGGTATGCATGTTAAATGCAGGGCAAATATCCAAACACAGCAGAACCACCGAGATATACCATAGTGGGCTGTGGGTATCCTCACTTACTTATAAAGGATTTGCTGTGTCACTAGGGCCAGTCATCAACAAAGAACTTAGAGCTAAAGAGAATCTTCGTGAATGTAGAATCAGCAGCATTCAGAACCCCCTGCTCTCTATTCCTAGCATGCATGCTGAGCTCGGACTCTGCCCACTCTTTGGATGAATGTGGTCAAGGAATAAGTGACTTACAGTTGGATAGACATTGCTGATGTAGAGTGATTACTGTGGTTACCTGGTTAGTGCATGCTCAGTTTTCATCTCTAGGCTACATTTCTCAGCACTGTGTCCATGGGTAGTGGGAGTGACATGAGAAACCAGGCATTTCCTTTACTCCTGTCATCTCTCTTTCAGAGGGGAAAGGAAATTCGCTTCCTAACTCTGGGCTGGGGACAAGTGTCCTCTAGAGAAGTGCTGCCCAGTGGACCCATCTGTGATGGAAAGAGGTTCTATACCTATGCTTTCCAGGGCAGTAACCAGTTACCACCTGTGGCTGCTGAGCACTTGCCATATAGCTGGTGTGAATGAAAAACTGAATTTTTCGTGTTTCACTGTCATGAATTTACATTTAAATACCACATGTGGCTATCATATTGGACAGCTCAGATCTCAAGGGCTGGGGAGAAGGGTCAAATTCAGCACCTGATGGAAAGCTATGCATGAGCCTAATGCCAGAACACCTGACTGAGGATGCCTTCTGCCTGGAGTAGGGAAGTGGGGTAGGGCTTCACCAAGCATCAAAACTGTTCGTTCACCAGGGTTCCTGTTGCTGTGCTATTCGGAGGAAGGCACTGGATACTTTCGTCTATTTCCTTTAAGAATGACCAAACCAGATGTGGTCGTACACTCCTATAATCCTGATACTCAGGAAGCTGAGGCAGGGAGATCACCATAAGTTGGAGGGTGGCCTGAGCTACATAGTGAGTTCAAAGCCAGCCTGAATCTCTTAGAGGGACTCTTTCTCAATACCCCTGACCCCACTTTGACGACAGACATCAAATTCTCCTTAGCTGTAATTCTTTGGATAGGCTTCCTTTGCTTGATTGTATTAAAGCTGTCATACATACATGCTTTATGTCCATAGTGTAAGTGCCGAACTCAAAGGGCTGTTTTGGGGGAGGACTAGGGGAATGCAGGAGAAAGTCTGGGTGACCATTACACAGAATGAAATGTGTAGGTTTATCTGCTTCCCGTGGTTTTTCTCGTGTTCAGTGGGCTGAGGCATCTGGGTGGTCTGGCCTTGTGTGGTAGTTACTGAAGTGACCCCATGCTGTGCCTGTAACTGGATGAACCTCCAGCTGCATTTTGCCGAATACCTGCAATGTATGCCCAGCTCTTATTCAGGGGCCATTTCACTGTGGCCTTTGCCTTCCATGGGCCCGGGAGTGGGATGAAGGCCTGTGGGCACCTTGTCTGACTGGGGGTCTCCCCTCAGCCATCTGCATTCCTGCCGCATGGCCTGCCTGTGCCTGTAACCCAGTGGGTTTATGTATTCGTGCCCCGCTGTTCCTCTCACATGGAAAGCCTTGACAGCTCTGCGTACCACTTTCTAGTCGGACCCCCAGTAGTTCCCTTTCTCCCCCATCCAGTGTCCCTCTCAGCTTGTTTCAAATATACACAAATCAGGAGGCCTGACATAACCACATGGAGGTGAGAGAATGCTGGTGTTGCAGAGGGGCAGGTGGTGACAGCCAAAGAGGCTAGCACAGGAAGAGGGGGAGGTAGCACACATGTGCTGCTCGGGTTTCCCAGAGGTCTGGCTATAAAGTGCCACCTTTGGATTCTCCTCGCGTCCCCTGTCCTAATGGAGGCATAGCGGTATCCTGGGTGAGCTAATAACTGACGTGTCCTTGGTAGTGGCTACTGTGCCACTCTGTGAAGCCTATAAGGGTGGGGTGGATTTCGCAGAAGGAAGGAAAAGGCTCGGAAATCCAACAATGGACATCTGATCAGAGGCCAGTGATGCCTGCATTCAAGGCTCATATAGGTGAAGTTCTGGATCAAGGTGGATACCGTCAGCTCTTCTCATAACCAGAGATACACAGTGCCCTGTACAACTTTTCTGATACCCTGATAAGCCAGATGACTATGTCTTAATTTTATGCTTTTGACTACTTTCCATTAAGAAACTCTTGTTTCCAGCTCTAAGTCATTAGAATTCTCTGAGAGACGCATTTTTCCTATCTTATTATTAATTTTCTTTATTTTAGATTTCTCATTGTTGTCATTGTCTTGAGACAGAGACTCACTGTGTAGTTCAGGCTGCCCTCAAACTCACAGTGGTCTTCCTGCCTCGGCTTCCGTATATGAGGAAGATCCTGACATATGCAGTACCATGCCAGCATATTTTAAACTTTTGACCTTAATAAGACTAAGAACGCTAGAATTGCCCCTCTATTTAAGGTCCAATTTTCATAGGTTACATGTCATATCATACAAATAAAAATATCAGTGATTGCTAGGTCTTAGCTGTGTGCTGGTACTGTTCTAAGGACTTAATCCCAGTCCATCAATTTAATTCACATTTTAATCTTGTAAGACATTCGGTATTTACTGTCCCATCTTTATAGACCGAGTCCAGAGAGGTTAAGAAATTTGCCCCATGCCACACAGCAAGTTAGCAGTGAAGCTGGCCTTGGCCCAGGTGTCCTGGCTCAAGAGCCTATGCTCTTTGCGGGAGGAAAGTCTCCCTGCAGCCCTACACTCATTAAAACATTGAAACTCCCTACTTGTGGATCACCAGCTTCGGTTGATAGGTAAATGGTCATTAAGTACAAATAGGAAATACAACAGATTCACACTGATGAATACTGACCTGAAAGTAGGTTATCCCACCTAATACCTAAGCAGAGAACAAGCCACTGGGGCTCAGGGAAAATCTGTTTCTTGAATTTTTGGCCCATCAGGGGGTTGCTCTTGGCAGCTAGGTATCCTTGGTTTCTCCAATACATTTGAACCCTTCCTTTGTATATACACACAGAGCAAGATTTGAGCACAGTTGCTTGATAAATGCATCTTCCTAAAAAGGAAATATTCAGAAAATCAGCCTCAGCCAGGAAGTCAAGATGAGGCAGCTCACACAGGGCAGCTGAGCCCAGGTGGCAGCCCAGGCATGTCTGCAGACATTGCTCAGCTATTCCCAAGGCAGGCAGCTGGGCCACAGGTGAATGCGTGTGTGGTAAGATGAAATGGAAAAGCACCGGTGTCTCTTCCTTATTGTCTTATCTTGACATCTTAAGATGCTGTTCTGAGAGTTACAGAGAAGACTCAGATAAGGGGATAGAGGAGAGAGAGGTAAGGCCTGCTTTGTGTTGAATTTCAGATTCCAAACCAGTGAGCTCACTGCTTTTGTCTCTTTGCTGGATGTCTTTTGTTGTCCAGCCTGCACGGTACCACCAGACATCCAACAACCTAAAGGATATGCTTCCCTACTCAGGGGTGATTTGACTTGCAAACTTGATTTATCTAGGATTTTGTTTTTTTAACCATTTCACCCGCAGTGTGTCTACCATGGAGTCAGCCTCGTCCTGACCTCAACCTTTCTTCATGGTTGCTGGAGGCTTCTAGCAATGTCCAATGTGAACTGTGCTCGGTTCACAGGGAGTGAGGGAATCTTTCCTAAAGTCCCCTTGGTCTCAGCTGGGTCATACACCATCTCCAAATTAACTGTGCTGGACAACACTGACATCTAAGAACCTGTGGTGGAATAAGGTTTTCTGTTGACCCAGAGCTGTGAAGTGAGATGTAGACTCCTAAATATGTGTAGATGGAGGAAGTCACCAAGAGGAGCTATTAGGACAGAAACTGGAACTCTCACTTCCCTTTCTGTAACCTGACAAACCCCTATTTGTGCACTGCCTTGGTTGCTTTTCTGTTGCTTGAACAAAATATCCTATACTCACCGACCAAAAGGAGGAGAGGCTTATTTTGGCTCATGTTTTATCTATTTAGGCTACTGGGTGACGGGTCAGCATGGATAGCAGTAGGCAAAGCCATCAAGGGTTTGGAACTGGCGTGGTAGGAGAAGCTGCTCATCTCTTGGCAGCTGGGAAGCAGAGAGAAGAGAGGAGCCAGGGAGCACACATTCCAGATCACGCCCCCAGCAACTGCCTCTGATCAAGCAGTTAGTTAGCTATTGAACCCGTCAGTGGAGGATTCCATTGATGAGTATGGCACCCCGTGATCTAATCACTTTCCTCACACATGAGAATTTGGGGGAACATTTTGGATCCAAACCGTGTCGAGTGCTCCCCAGGTGTGCTTTTCTGCTAGAAAATGGAAACTTGTGTTTTCTAAACTAATACATTTTACTCTTTTCTGACTTAAATCTCCTTTGTTCTCTTTCCTTCTCTTCTTCCTCTCTCTCTTTTCTCCTCTTTGCTGTCCTTTCTTTCCCCTTCTTTCTCTTTCCGCATTGCTGGTTCCCTTTTCTTCTCTTCTCTCATTCCTCTTCTCTTGGCCCTGCTTCTTACCGCCTCTGTCTTCTGGTCTCTCCTCCCTATGCTTATCCACCGACTCTTCTTGATTGATAATCTAGAATATATGACTCAACTAGCTTGGTCAGGCACAACTTAGTTTCTCCCTAAATAATAAAATGCTTTCATGTCCTCCCCCCGCCCCAGGAAGAAGAAATGCCAGATGTAGAAATTGACATTGATGATCTTCTGGATTCAGACAGTGAAGAAGAGAGAGCTTCAAAATTACAGGTGAGCAGCTTTCAAAGACTTGAACTTCCAGCCATGGCTGTTTGACTTCAATTGAGTCCTCAAATCATGGCATAAAGTGAGGAGGTGTGATCCAGCTGATTCCCCCTGCTGTGAGTAGCACCAGGAGGTGGCCAGTGACGTTATGTAGAAGGGAAAACAGTGGGATGCTGGGTGTTCACCTGCACACGTTGCATCTGTGATGGTAAAACAGCTCTTGGCTACAGCCAGTCTTCCGGAGATTTTGTAAGATGACTTTCTCCAGCCTCATTTTCCTTAGGAGAAAGAGCTGGTTCTGCCCCAGAGATCATTCTCTGGAGAAGGTAATGGTGCCCACAGGTCAATAAGGAAAGGACTGGATTGGAACTGGAAATATTCAAGCTCAGTGAGGGATCTATTATCTGATCAAGCCCAGGGCTCTGGTCTCACATTTATGGATTATGACATTTGTAAAATTTATTTCTAGATTAGACTCATGATATAATTCAACTTAGTAGAATATCTTTTTAAAAATGGTTTTTACCTGATGCCAGTAGCATTCTAGTTCATTAGTGGAGGTTGAGCAGTTTAATATTCTTCAGTGGAAAGCAATAGAATTTATTCAGTCCTTCCCACAAGAGGCTAAATTTATCATTTTAAAAACTGCACTTAGGAGTTTCTAAAACTAATCATCCTTTGACCCACCACTGTACCTAATGTCCACTGATAATTATTGGGACTGTGTATTGGTTTTCATCAATGGGAAATGGACACTAAAGCAAATCAAATGGCACATTTTAATGCACTGATATATTCAATGTGTTAATGATTCTTAGTGTCCCTTATATGGTGAAAAGCCTTAGTTACTGTGATTATTCCTATGGGTAGATTTAGCTGGAAATAATAGCATCCTAATTATAAAGGTTTTAAAAAGTAAATAAAAATTTAAAACAAGTATCACTTTGATAGCAAATATAATGACATAAAAAATAGTCTTAAAATTGAGAACTTGAAAGGGGCTTTTTTTTAGCTGACCTCAGGTTATCTACCCTGCTTGATTTCCAAGTGAGGACCCTGAAGCCGAGGTAGCTGAGTCCCAAGCTTGTCTGTGGCTGAATCATGGCCACAGCCCCCTCTTTCAGATGTCCATTGTGATTGTCACCGTCTGGCACAGGCGGTCTTACCGTAAAGGATATCCAGTTTAATATTAACCAAATGGTAACCCAAAAGGAAGGGGGAAAGAGAGGTGCCTGTGTGTGTGTGTGTGTGTGTGTGTGTGTACAGAGGGGGTGAAAGTCATTTACTGGATGAATAGGTTTGAAATCTTTTGGCCTTCTGGATTATACTCAGTTAATTATAACATAGAACTGGAGTCTTAGGGAAGCTGGAGGGAGGGGTGTGTGTGGTGATAGTGTTCTGCTCCTGTTGAGGGCCAGCAAGGGTTTGGGCGTAGAGTTGGGCTGCATCTCTCTGCAGACCAAGCTTTCCCACCTCTGCCGCTTTAAGCTCGTCTCCTCAGTGAGGGATCTATTATCTGATCAAGAGCTATATTTTATTTTCAGTGCAATGGTAGCATATAAAACAAATCTTTTTATTAAAAGGATTTCCCATGAAGTGTGTGTGCATATGTGTGTGTGTGCATGTGCGTGCAGGCCCTCTTGCATGTGTGCTTGTGCATTTAGCCAAAGCATTCCTGCATATTAATGATCTTTTTGTATCTTTGGATGACCAGTTGGTGCTGAAATGAGTTATTGCAGATAGTGGATTGAAGTCTCGATCTGCTATTGTAAAATGTTAGTATAAAGATGAAATGATTTTTAATTTTGAAAACTATATTGAAATTTAAAATAATGAAACTGAGTTTTTATGTGTTTCTTTCTAGGAAGCTCTTGTGGATTGCTACAAGCCAACAGAGGTAAATAAATCATTTCTCCTAAATGCTGTGTTTGAAGTGGATTTTATTAAGTCTACTTGTCTAGTTTTAAGCTAAAGCACAATAAACAAATATTAATGAGCAACTATCATTCATGAGAGCCTGTGTTTGCACAATACGATCTTCTTTAATTCTAACCTTAACATGTCTAGCTCAGGAAGATTGAAAACTAATGTAATGGGTATATTTCCAGTTTTAGATGAAAACCAAACTTCAAATAAAATTATAAGAGGATATAGAATCCCCATAGTAAAAGTTTTAGGTTCATAACTCATGAATGCATTCTGCTAGTTTATTTGTATGTAATTTCTAAAAGCTTAAAGTTCTGGTTTTCAAGAAAATTACCTTTCTTGGGACAAAAAAGTTATGCTTTTTTGGATATTTATCAAAAGTATAAACAGTATAAAAAGTCATGCATAGCAATCTGATAAATCCAGAGCATATAAATGTTTATTCTAATGACCAAAAGTAGGAATAGCGTGGAGTTAAGGTTTTGATTAGTTACGAAAATATTATCGAAAGAAATTTCAGTTTGTTTCTCTCGTAAAGACTCATCAGATATTTTGAAATATGTTTAAAATCAAAGCAGTGGGTAAGATTTCTGATTTTGGAAGTGGTAAATTACAGAGAGAAAGGGAAGCATGCCTTTTATGAGAGTGTAAAATTTTAATGACTAAGATGTTTCATGATCATTTACTTTGAGGCTAGTCACCTATTTGACCTGCATCCTTATAACCTCCAATTTTGATTGTTTTGCAGTTATATAGATTTTTAATTTTAGCTGTTAAAATAAATTGTTTAATGAAAATAATACATATTCACACTTTTAAAAACAGAAAGTATTATAAGGCTTACAAAGAAAAGGTAGTAGTACTGTTCCTCATCCTTTGACATTCCTCCCTCAAGGTCTATATCTTATATTTCCGTATTTTATTTATACACTTATATACAATACTTTGGGCTTTTCTCTGTTCTATACTCTCGTATTTCTAAATATGTATTTAGTACTTTTTGAAAAACATTACTGATTTAAAGGAAAAGGTGGTAGCTCTCTTGCTCTCCATATAATTCCTTTCTGTCCATCCCCTCAAAATTATGTAATAATATTCATTAAATCTGTGGTTAAGGTTTATAATATTATGATTTAATGAATATTTTCATGCCTCAATCAACAATAAATTATGACAATGTCTTCTTCCTGGAATAGCCCTTTACTTTTCCTGAAATTGATAACTTCTTGTCTTTTATTTTGTCTAGGATCAGTTGCTGTTTTATAATGAATCATCCAAATGTTTTTGTTGAGCATGTAATACATTTCCTGTATCCACAAGCACTTCATTACTGTCTCCTCACCCCAGACTTCCCTTCTTCAGTCCCTTTATATGAGTTTGCTGATTATCTACTCTTCTGAGCTTTTTGTTCACTGCTGTGCAGTGTTTAGTCTTTGGTTTTAAGTCTCAGTCTCCTGAATTTTTATGACGTACCTCATCCACTTTCTTCTTAAGAAAGAATGTATAGGAGTTCTTTTCTTTGTATTCTTGTTAAGTGACAGTGTATCTCTACCATAGTTAATTTGAGTGGTACAGAATTCTAGGCTAACAAGCATTGTTGAATCTCAAATTTAAAGATATTTTTCTGTTGTCTTACTTCTGGGTTTAAAAGGCCTGATGGTATTTCCGTATGATCTATTCCCTCTTCTCAGTTCACTTTTATGACTAGCTCTCTATATTTTGAAGTTTTACAGTTAGGTACCTGCTGTAGAGTGGGTGTTTTTCTATTCATGTATAGATGCTTTGCAAGCTCTTTCAGTCTGAAGAAATCGTCTTTCAGTTTTTCAGAAATTCTCTTTCATTATGGGCTGGCTTATTATTTATTTATTTTCCAGTATTCTGTATTTGTGATTCTCCTGTTTTTGTATATTACCTTTTTCCCCAAAAGAATATAAACATGTTTTATATAATTAGCCATCGTGGAAATATGGATCAAAACTACAGTGAGATACCATTTAACCTCAGTTAGAATGGCTGCTACTTAAAAAACAAAGTAAGATGTGTGTAGAAAAAGAAATTCTTACTTACTGTTGGTGGGAATATAAATCAGTATGCTCATTAGAGGGAAGAGCATGGAAATACCTTCAAAAAAACACTAAGTACTATAAAACATAGCCAGCCTGCTTGTGGGTATGTATCCAGAGGAAGTTATCACTCCAGAGGGATGCCTGCCTATGTTTCCTGCAGCACTTCACAGTGGCTGAGATACAGCCTCGGTGGCCATCAACAGATGAATGAAGCTGGCCATGGTGCCACGCACCTGTAATCCTGGCACTCAGGAGGCTGAGGCAGGAGAATTGCCATGAGTTCAAGGTCAGCCTGCACTACATAGTGAGATACTATGTAGTGTCTCAAAAAAAAAAAAAGCAAGGGAAAAAACAGATGAATGAAGAAAATGTGGCATAGACACACAGTGCATGCTGAGTGTGTGTATGCAAGTATCACACTGATCCTGTCTTATGTACAATTAACATGTTAATGGATAAAAAAAGGCCTGTTATAGCTGGAACATAACTGAGGTGTTTAAAGAGGTGGAGACCTGTCCATTTCCTTTCTCATCTAGAGCTCTTTGGTGTGTCTTTTGAACACTGGGATGTAATTGCGATGTTTTTTAAGTAGAGTGATGTAATCAGAGGGACATTTTGAAAAGTATGGAGAGCAAATGGGACCAGCATGGGTGGGGGTAACCTAATGGGTAGGCAGCTCTTATGGTAACTTACTGGGTGTGGTGGCGCGTGCCCAATAACCTCAGTGGATATTACCTTTTAGATGAATCCTTTAACTTCTTTTTTCTTTTATTTTCCAGATCTTTCGTTCTGGAAAACAGATCTTGTATCTAGATCTTTTTAATCATTTGTTCTTTCTAAGTGACTTCATTGGCTTTTTTTTTCCTACTGTTTCTACTGATATTTTAAAATTTCACCTGTCTTAGTTTTAGTATCCCAGAGCTACTTTTTGATATTTGGTTACCATTTTGATTTAGTGTTTCTTCTTGTGTCATAGATTCATTTTATTTTCTTTTCTCTACAAGGCTATTAATCAAATATTTTTTTGTTTTTAAGATTACTCTGGTATCTGCATTGTCCTTCTTTTCCTCTGAAATCCAGCTTTTTAGTGCCCATTTTGACCTATCTTTGCTGATTTTTGGCAGCACGTGCCTTTTGAAATATAAGGGAACAGTAGACTGGTCGGCATTTATGTGTATGAGCATAGCCTGTCCATTGGTGGGTCTCTCTATGCATTCAGCAGGTTGAAAGCCAGAAATTTTTAATATACTCTGTCATATGTGAATTTGAAGTACTTCTTAAAGTGTTAGTATAACTATAGTAGTTATAATTTTCAGTAAACAGCAGGCCATATATACAGCAGTGGTCTAAGATAAGGTTATAGCTCAATAGCATAAGTACCTACCTGGAAAGCCCAAGGTTGTGAGTTTGACTTCTAGTATCCAAAACAAAACAAAACTCCCCAAAACAGTGGTCCTATATGATTGTATTACCTAGTGATATTAGTTTGTGTGAGTACACCCCATGATGTTCTCATGATGACAGAATCACTCAACAACACATTTCTCAGAATGTACCCCTTGTGTTAAATGATGCAGGACTTTACTAGAATGTTGTTTCTCTGGGTAAATTGAGTTTTATTGAATTTGTCTAATCTCCTGCCTGCAGCTTGACAATGTGACTTCAGGATTTCTGGAAGCAGAGGGGATGAGGCAAGAGAGTTCCTATTTAGTCATTTTAGAAATGGAATTTTTTGTTTATAAGTAGTTGGGAAATAATGTGATTTAAAACAATGATACCTGGAGAGTGATTCTGAATCGTTGTGGTGGGTTAGAGTAGTAGGACCTTAGTGAAGAAAAGTGATGAATTATACAGATGAACAGCCATGTGCTGTGGAGGTGGATGGTGTGCTGTTGAAGGTAACCAGATTGGTAGTGCAGAAATGCAATATATCCATTCCACTTTTCATTCTCCTCCATTGGAGAAGTTCTTGGCTTTGTTGTTGTTGTTGTTTTTGGTGAGAAAGGTTGAACTTACAGATTTCTCTTCCATTAATTCCACAGGAAGCCAAGACTGACATCTATTTTCCCCTGAAGTGAGCATTGTCCTTCTTCCCCTCCTGTCCCAGTGTCTAAAAATGAGAATTCTTACAGTGGTCAATGACCATGCAGCTAAGTGAAGACTGTGGGTCTTGGCCCCTAGAACAAAAATTTCCTTATCTGATTTTTATTTGCAGTGTTAGTGTCCACAAAGTAATTTTCTGGGGTATTGATTAAGTTGCATTGAATCTGTAGGTCGAGTGGGGAAAGCTGGCATCTTGAGACTACTGAGCCTTCCTGTCCATGAGCATGGGATATCTCACCATATGTTTCCACTGAGATAGCCTCAGGCTTAGAGATTCTTTCCTTAGTGTATCTAATCTACCGTTGAACCCATCAGAGATGTTCTTCATTTCTACTACAGTGTTTTTGATCTCTAGAAATCGTTTTGGTTTCTTTTTAGAATGTCTATCTTTCTGCATACATTGCTCACCTGTGTTTGCATGCTGTATACGTTATTCAGCAGAGTCCTTACCATGTTAACAACAGTTGTTTTAAATTCCCATCCTGATAATTCCAACATCCCTACAACATTCTGGTTTTGATACTTCTCCCTCTTAAAAAACTGCTAGTTTTGTCTTTTATTATTGTCTTATAATTTTTCTTGATAACTGGGCATTTTGTACTGGGTAAAAGCCTTTAGTAATGCAGTGACAGGGTACAGAGGGTGGAAAAGCACTTTCAGATCCTAGGACTAGGTCGCAGCCTTTCAGTGAGCCTGTGCTCCTCGACTGCAAACTTCACAGGAGCTTCTCCTTCTCCATCCCCAGCTCCTACCCTGCTGCCTTTAGCCTGGGCTCCTGGTTCAAGCCAGCTAGAGCTGGGTG